CTAGATTGGCCTGAGTTATTTTCAGCCCACTAATCATGTATGTTTGGTTGTTGGATTGGTGATTTGGATTGGTCTAGAGCAGTGCTTTTTAGTTTATAACTCGTACATGGTGTCCAATTACTCTCCTTAGCATACAGCCTACTAACAATGAGTGTACTATGATCTTAAGGGAGCATACCGACCACTTCCATGCATCGGTGTTAAGACTCTTATGTTTTTCCTTAGGGAAAATATAGAATGAGACCATTTACTTTTTATACAAGGTGGTCACAATATTTTTTACCATTGAATGTAAAGTTGGGTGGCTATAATTATTTCATTGACTAAGCTTAAACTTCAAAAGAAATATTCTCAAACTTTGTAAAACATCCAAGTCATCAAATTTCACATCAAATGGTTGTAGAAAATTGTAACCACCTTGTATAAAAGATAAATGGTCTCATTATATACAATCCCTTTTCGTTGTTACCCATAAATAGAGCATTTGAAAATTGTTATTCTTTTTTTCATTCTTTTTTGATGTTGGAAGAAGGTTAAAAATAATACATCCCAAAATTTGAGATCAAAGTACTCCTATACTAAGATTGAACCGGGACAGCAAATAGAGGGGATGGTCTGAGTGAGTGAAATCTTTTAACTTTAAAATGGAAAAAGTTTATATAAGGGTGAGGCCCTAAACAATTAAATTAAAGGGCATCTCAAAACGTTACTAAAAGATGTTGTTTCGATGCCCAAAAATCCTCAAATCAATCATCTTGACCTCAATATATATACACATAAAAAAAAATGGATTTCAAGTCTTGAAAATAATGCATCTTGTGATGCATTTTTTGGACCTTTAATTTTCAAGATTTTCAGGTGTTTATAGATTTGTATGATCTACATTATTTTTTAAGCCTTAAATTTTATAGTTAAATATAAAAATAAATTTTGCAAGCCATGAAAAAGATTTTCAGTATTGAAACAATATCTTTCGACAATATTTAAAAGTACAACGTACTATGAGTGTTTAGGGCCTCAGCCTTATACACACCACACCCTTAATAAATATAAAATATATCAAATTACCAATAGGATATGAGCTATTCACCATTTTAGCCGTTTTGCAACTATTACAACCCATGATCTCGTATATTTTGATGGTATTTTGAAATTAAACAAAAAACATGATGCTAAATAATATGAAGAGCCCACATACTATGGTCATGTGGGAACATAATGTATATTTACTCCCTCACTCAAAACATCAATTTTGGAGGATTACTTTAGTCTAAAATTTTGGGTACCACATGAGAATTACTAGATGATTATTTTTAGAATAAAATTTTGAAATTTGAATTATGTGACACTTAAATCTAGCCTTACAAAGTTGCACAGTTTCTATTCAATATTGGGGCATTAGTTTTTTCTAGTATATAGAAAGTTTATTTCGAAATTTTCTTTTACTGAGATATTCTATGGGTTGTCGAGATTACATCTGCAAAATTTAAGATCTAAAAAGTATCCCTACCATGTGTTTTACCTGAGGAAGTAGAAATCTTTTGGTTAATATTAAATAGTTTATCTCTTGTCAAATTTTGACATATTTCTCTCGATAAATTCCCTCTTTTATGGTTAGATGTCTTTTATCTTTCCTCCTCCATCCATCAAATCATATTTAGCCAATCTGGTATTGCATTTGCCTCTCTATAAGGAACAAGCTTTTTATGTTTTCCCTAGCATAAAACTTATATACTTCCCCCTATCCGATCGCTCATTCTAATTGGACGGTTGCGATAGGTCCAATCACAATGTCACATCTATATACTATTTTATTTTTAAATTTTTTCTAAGAATTATTTGGTACCAAATTTTGGGCATCCACTCCTCTCTTAAACTCGCACTAATAATATATATATATAAATGATCATATAGGACCCTCCTCCACCCATATGTGTAAGACCCCAAAGAATCACTATTAAATTTGACACAGATCTCTAAAAAAGTCAAGTCTCATACTCATATGAAAACTTTTATAGAGATCCGTGTCAAATTTGATGGTAATCATTTGAGGGAGGGTCCTATAGTATATCCTATAGGACCCTCCCCTACCTATGTGTATGGGACCTCAAAAGATCACCATTAAAATTGGTATGGATCTCTAGAAAAGTCAAGTCTCACATCTATTTGATAAATTTTTTAGAGATTCGTGTCAACTTTTAATGGTGATCATTTGAAGTCCTACGCACATCGGTGGGGGAGGCCCTATAAGATCATTACTTTTATATATATATATATATATATATGATATTATAAACTTCACAAACCTTCAAATTATAAAGGTTCAAGATAGAAAGAGTTGTGAAGGATGGATTTATTACTTTTGTTGTTTATTTTTTTTACAAAAGTTACCTTTGTGGGGCAATTTTGTGAATATTACTACAAGACATACGGTATTTTTGTCATATTTATAAAGGGTAAATTTTAAATTTTAACTAAAGGACAAGGGCACTCTACAAATAAAGTTTCAGGACACTAACTTCCAAAAAGCCATTGTACTTTTGTGAAAATTTCAAATTTGATCTTGATCAATGGTAAAGTTACATATTTAAATAATTTTTTTAATAAAAAAGTAATGATTGTTTTGATAAAGAGTAATGATCATATGAGATCATCTCACACCCACGTGTATAGGACCCCAAATGATCACCATTAAATTTCGCACAGATCTCTAAAAAAGTTATCACATGGGTATGAGACTTGACTTTTTTAAAGTTTTATGCCAAATTTAATAGTGATCCTTTAGGGTCCTACACACATGGGTGTGGGAGGGTCTCATAGGATCATTACTCTTTGATAAATGTACTCACCACAACCCTTTCTAACTTGAACATTTGTATTTTGAGGGGTTGTTAACTCTAAACAATATATA